TTTCCTTTGAAGCATATCACATAGAATAGATGATTTCCTGAATTATTTTCACTTTTTTTGGGAGTTTGGTTAAAAACTCTAGATTTTCCCCCAACTTTTCCTGGGGATAAGGTTTCTAGGGAAAGTGTAACTTTTATGGGTCATAATAAATAAGATATCAGAACATAAAGACTTATTTTGTATGTGTGAGGGTTAAAGAGTATGGCCTTTTTTTTTTTTTTTTTTTTTAAATAATACCCTACAGAGTAAGACATTCTTCAGTTTGGAACAATTTCTTGGTGGTTAATTCCTTCAAGGAATTAGGTCAAGAATATCCGAACAATTACTAAGTTTGAGTTTTTGGAAAAAAAACTCAATGTATTTTTATTTCTTGGGGCTATTGAAGCTGGATGAGTTTAGTGATAATCAACCCATGTGGTCATTTTGGAGAATTTGCTGATTTTCATCTAAATGGATTTAATAAACTGTATGTAGATATCAGGAAGGAGGAGAACCCACCAAATGCAATGAGGTTAGGGAACAGTGAACCCTAGAAGATACTGCAGTTTTCTACACGTTATAGTAGTAGTATCATCTCTTCAGCATGGTCACTCAGTTTTCTTTTTAAGGCAAAATAAAATGGGTCACAAAAGAAATTTAGGAGGTCTGAGCCCATGCATTAGTCATTTAGTTACCTTATTTGATGCTAAGCTATATTTCATTTGAAGGTGTCAGGAACAAACGTCATTTGGGTGAATCCTCCCATCTGATTACTGGGGGCTTAATCTTGAAAGCTCAGGCTGGGGAATTAGTCATGTACTTGGGAACTGTGAGCTTTCTTCCCCTAAAGGGAGAGCCAGAACATTAAAAAGTGACCAAATGCCTCTGGATTGTTTTTCTTGTGCTTCGTGCTAAGTAATATCAATTACATGTCAAGGTGCTTTTTGGTTCTGGGCCAGTTCTCTTGCTGATCTATCTCTTTCTCACACTGTGTTCTGGGAGGTCACAGCCATTATTGTGTTGTTATCTTTGTGGGTGACAGAGGATACCTAGGTCCTAAAACCTTCCTCTTTTCGTAATAGTTTACACAATACACAGCTTTGTAGATCATTCTCTAAGAAGGATCCTACTAAGATCCTTCTCTTAGGATCCTAGTAGGTCCTCCTGAGCCTTTACTGTATTGTGGGGGGGAAAATAGTCTTTACAAATAGATTTAATTTACTCTTACACTATGTCTATACTTGCTCAAAAAATTAAAATGTACTTTTAAAAGTTTAAAATTTTTTTTAGATGTTGATGGACCTATGTTTTATTCATTTATTTACATCTGGTGCTGAGAATTGAACCCAGTGCCTCACACGTGCTAGGCAAGCACTCTACCACGGAGCCACAACACCAGCGGGCCCCCCCCCCCCATTTTTTAAAGGTCTTTTAGGATTAGCTCACTCAACCAAGATGATTTTAGGTAAGTGGTTTATCTTGAATGATTTTCCTTTCAAATTGGTAACATTTTGTGTTATGAGCAAAGTCATCCTTAACTTCTTTCCCCCCTGGAGAGAGCAATAAGGCTTGTGTAACCCCAAACTCTGGTAGAAGTTTAAAATTTATTTAAACAGAGCTTAACCTCTGGGTCACCCAATGTAGTGTTTCTCTACTAAGTCAGGTTAACATGTAAATAATATAAATATAACCAGGAATGTAACAAGAGTATTTAATACTCATCAACTTTATTTCTAAAATATTACCGTGGATTCAGAATCCTGAATTCCAACCAGATGTACTTTTGGATTATTACACAGGTCATATATATTTCACTTTTTTTTTTGGTTCAAACCCAGGGGATAGACACGATAATTAGATTGAGAACATCTGTACCAAATCCAAACCATTTCCCCGATCCTTCCCCACGGGAGGAATTTTTTTTTTTTTAAAGCCCCTGCACATTTTATTTGTCTAGCCACTTTAAGGGCAATTCCTGGGTCTCCCTGTCTGCCACCGCACACACACAAGGGGAGGGCAGATTGTCCCCAAGTTTGGGAAAAGAGGAGAATAGTTGCAAGTGGTACTGTTCAGTATGGGAATGACTTACGGTGGCAATGCCCCTTCCCGCCAGGAACCTAGCTCCGGGACAGGGCGTGGCCAGACACAGAGGCTCGYGCGCGCGGGTGGGCACGTGCGCCGGGACCCGAGGACCCGAGTGTCGGGGCGCAGCTGCCCTCTACCGGGCGTCGCGGTCGGARCTGCAGCGCGGCCGCCGGCCGACGGCGCGCGCCAGCTCGGGAGCCCCACACGGAGGCAGCCCGCGGCCACCCGACGTCCGCAGTGCCTGCCCGGCGACGCGTCACAACCTCTGGGCCGGAGGTCGCGACGCTCCTTCCGACGCCCGCTCGCTCCCACCCACCTGCTTCCTGCCTCTCCAGCGAGTCCAAGCTGCGCTGGGGAAGCGGAGCGAACCCCCTTCCAGACCTTGGGAGCCTCCCCTCGATGAAAAGGCCTCTGGCCCCAACGCAAGACCTGGGGACACGTGTGCTCTAAATTCGGGGGACTTTCATTCCCACTCCCTTCGAAAACGCTGAGTCCACTTTTCTGATCAGCGCTAAACCCTCGAACTCAGTTGAAAAGCAATTATTTTCCACTTACATGTTTTATTTTGTATCCCATACAGATTTTTATTTACATATAATTTTCAAGATTAAGGAATTTGGGGATTTGTTGTAACTAATCACACGTTAAATGAAGTGCGGGAGAGTACAAGTACAGTTTCCCTACTGGAAACTCAAACTCGCGCTGTGTGATCAATCAAAGATGATGATCGAAAAATGGGTGCTTGGACCAGGTTTCTGCGAAGAAGGAAATCAACAGAGAATTTGTTTTGTAGTTCGCATTTTAGCATTTCTATGCACTGGGGCCACTTTTTCTGTTTGGAATGAACATTTCCTAACCTTGGGCACCCTAAGCAGGAGAAACCGAGGTGTCTGAACCACGGGGAGTTTCTGGGGTCCTTCTGGAGAAGCAGTGTCCTCTGTGTGTGTGTGTGTGKGGGGGTACTGCCCTGTGCTCCAAGACTTTTCCTGTCATGGCCTAACCTGGAGCGACCTGGGCGAAGGGGGACCGCGGGGACCCCCGAGCCACCGCCTTTTCGAAGTGCATACTGGTGCGACAGCGGGGACCGTGCGGCCCCAGCGTGGGGGGGGGATGAACTGACCTAAGGGTCAGAGCTGGTTTCCCCCCAACTGCACTCTCCCAAACGTGAAACGCAGTTCCTGGTCGCCGCGGTCTCCCAGTCCCCGCTCGGACGTAGAGGGGCCGGAGCGCCACAGTCAACGGCCAGCGCGTCGCGCACACGCGCGGCTGCGTGGGCCTGGGCCGCGCGGGGTCGGGGCCTGGGCAGGTGGTCGCGGAGGCTCAGCGTGCGAGCAGAGGGGCGAACACAGTGCCGGCGTCCGCCTCGCGCTGCGCACGGCCCCCCGCGGGCAGCCTGGAGGGGCTGCGCTAGTCCGCCTGCGACCCCCGGGGGTCCAGCCTGCGCCCCAGGTGAGCGGGGCCCGGGGCCTCCCGCGGGGCCCGGCGCCCCTCTCGCGCCCCGCAGCGCCCCCTCGGGGCCGGGCGCGCGGCAGCTGGGGCTGGGGGCGCGGGAGGGGCGGGGGTCGCGGGCCGGGCGCCCGCCGCGCGACAAGGGGGCAGGGCCGCGCGCGTCAAGCCGGCCGGCGGCCGCCGCGCCCCCGGGCTCCGAGTCCGGCTCCGGCTCGGGCTCGCCGTGGCTGCGGCGGCGCCGTGAGGAGGAGTCCGCGTCCGCCGTGGCGGCGGCGGCGGCCCGCTCCAGGCCGGGTTTTGGCGCCGCCCGCCTGCTGCCTCCTGGCGGCTCCTGAACTCCAGCCCCCTCTCTATCAGCCTCTCACTCCGTCTCAATATGTCTCAAGATGGCGGCCAATGTGGGATCGATGTTTCAATATTGGAAGCGCTTTGATTTACAGCAGCTGCAGGTCAGGCTTCTCCGCGCTCGGCCTCGCGCCCGGGGGTGGGGGCTGCGGGCGGTCGCGGCCTCCCCCGGGGCCCCGGGCTGCCGGGCCGCCGGGGGGCCGCGGCGGCGGGGAGGAGGGGGTGCCGGGGAGAGCGGGGCCGAGTCGGGGACAAGTCCCTCTCGCTCCCCGGCCCCCATTGATAACTCGCTTGATCGGAAATTGATCCTCTTTGTTCAATTCATCGATCAGCCCAAGATGGCGCCGGGAGCCGCCGCCGCCACCGCTGCCCCCGGTGTCTGCCCCCACCCCGGGCGCCCCCCCCGGCCCTGCGCCGCCGCCGCCGCCGCCAGCGCCGCCGCCGCGGGACCGGGGAGGGGGCGGCCGGGTGGCCCGCGGGGCGCGCGCGCGAGGGGGCGCGGGCGGCGGGCGGCGGCGGGCGGCCGGAGGGGGCTGCGGCCCGGCGGCGGCGCCCGCCCGCGCGCCCGCGCCCCCGGCCCGCCGTATTCCCGGGGAAAGTTTGTGGGGAGTTGCTGTGGGGGGTGAAGCGCCTGCCTCTCCAGGAGGAGCCGCCGCCGCCACTGCCGCCGGCGCGGCGGAGCTGGGGCTGGTGGCGCTGTGGTGCCGCCGGCTCGGGGGAGGGTCAGAGCGGCCACCGGCGGCGGCGGCGGCGCGGCCCGGCTCCGGCCAGGCGGGCGGGTGGCCGGGCGGGCGCCCGCGCTCCCTGCCCCGGCCGGCCCGGCCCCGGCTGCCGTCCCCGGCTGTCAGCGGGCCGCGGCGCGCCGCCGCTCCTGCTCCCGGCGGGGCTGCGGGCGCGGACCCCTGGTTTGTTTACGTCCCGGGAGCGCCCCGGGGCCACCCGCGAGCCCCGCAGCCGCCCCGCTCTTTTGTGTGCCGGCGCGAGTGGCGCGGACCTGCCGCTTCGCACCCGGGGTTCCCCGCGGGGGCGCTTCGGGGAAACTTGGCGCGGGGCGGCGGGGGCGCCCGGCGAGCGGTGCCGGTGGGTCGCGGCGCCCGGGACCTCCGGGTGGGCGCGGGCGCGGCAGAGGGAGGCGGGCTGCAACTTTCCCTGAGCGCAGGCCCCGCGCTGCTCGCCGGCCCCCGGGCTGGGGGCGCTTCCTCTCCGCCGCCGCTCCGGGCGGCCGTTGCCGCGCGCCCGGGGACTTCAGCGGCCCACAGTGACCCGCCGCCGGCTCCTCTCCGGCCCTCTGCTCGGGGAGCCTGTCCTCCCCGCGGGGTCCGCCGGCGCTATGGAGCGCTCGGCAGGTCCGCCCCGGGGCGGCTTTGCGGGCCAGGTTTTCGAAAGCAGAGCCCCGGGGACCCCGCTGGACTGTGGCGTGCGGGACCACGGTCCCCGAGCCGACCCCCAGGCGCCGCGAGGGGCTGCTGCCGGGGCTCCCCACCCGGCGCCCGAGCTGCCGCCGTGCTCCGGGGCTGCGTTCCTGCCTGCCACCCCCGACCCGGAGGAGCTGAGCGCCGGAGGGCTGCGCCCCGCACGGGCCAGTTCGGCGCCCGCGACGCCGAGACAGCCCCCGGACTCTGCCAGGTGGATGTTGTGCGTAGCCGGAGACAAGTTGAAGGTGAGCGGCGTGTGGGCCCCAAGCTCCGAGAGCGCTGGGGCGCGGGAGTGGGGACGACTCTGCTGCTGGGAAGGGCCCAGGGCAGTCTGGTGCTGGGAGGTGGGGAGGAGTTCCTGCGGCGTCCCTGGGGACCGCTGCTGCTCCCAGCTCTGAGGTGTGTGTGAAGGTGAACTTGGCCCAACTTTACTAACCCGTTGGGCTGGGGGGATAGTGACCGACAGCACCTTTAGGAGAAAATGAACTCCACATTGAGGCTTGTAGGAATCCAGGCAGATTGGATTAAAGCGGATGTGAGTGGAGTCTGACAACTTTAATTGTATGTGCTTGTTTTCTGCCCTCGCCGAAGGAAGAACGATAAAGCAGACTCATAGTCGTTATGAAATTTCCTCAAATTTCTCTCAACTAGGAAGAAGACTATGTGAAATATGTATTTCCGATAAGATTAAAACTTAAAGGAGTTTGAGTATTTATTGACCAAAATAGATTACTCCAAAGTGTCTATTGTGTAAATTAGATTCCTGAATGTAATGAACACAGCCGAATGGCATTTTTGATAAATTGGTCTACCCTGTTTTAGTAAAAATAGCTCCCTTTTACCATAATTTAATTCCTGTGCTTACTGTAAAACCCGTTGTGGAGTTTTAAGGGACAAACCTCAATTTTTTCTCCCTCTTGTCTTCTTAAATGTGACATCCTAGCTTAATATCAATGAAGTTTCTTTTTTAAGCATCCTGGCAGAACTGCCTGGGAAATGGATTTGGTTTCTAGAGACTTATTAGATTTTATGAACTTGGTATAAATAGTTCCCCTCCACCCCAATAGATTAGGTGCTTGTTCAGGGGATCATAGCGACATTTAACAGTGTGGCTTCAGGATTCGATTCAAAGATTTCTGGTAATTTACTCAAATGAACTTTATGTTGATCTTGAAAAACAGCAACCACCAAATAGATCCTTTCTCGGAACATTATTCTTGTACTGAGCATCCCTTGCCTCTTGGTGGTAGGGATTTGGCCTTAGATGGTTTCCTATGGCTGCTGCATCGCACATTTGAAAATGTCAGTTGAACACGGAATGCCAAAGTTCCCTGGCCAGACTGGTCCTTTCTGTGGGCCCAGGGAGGTCTTTTGATTCTTGCAGATGGTGAATGGGCCAGTGAGACTGCGATTTGAGAGAGAAGTCATTAGTTTGAACTCTCTCGGCTTTGCAGACCCCTGGTACTGAGGTCTACTTGCCTGCAGAGCCCAGTGAGGGTTGTGACTTCGCCATCTGAAAGTAGAGAGACTTGGTCTGGGCCAGGCAGATCCATGTTAGAGACTGCAGCCGATCGGGGTGAATTCAGACAGTTCTGTGCTTCTCCAGGGCCCCATGGAGCTTGGGGCTTCCTGGGTCCTGAAGCCACCTTTGGTCTTGTGGTGAAAGCCCAGGAAGAATTTCTGAAGACTGTTCTCTATTTTGCTTCCTTTTTAGTCCCAGAGGCTTGCAGTATGGACGTTTCATTGCTAAGACTCGTTGGACAAGTTTTCATCCTATCCCAGACTTGTAAAAACCAGACTTTTTTTTTTTAATAAGAAAAATACCATTATATAAATTTATCTTTTAAACACACGTTTGAAAAAAGTGCACTTTCTAAAACCAGCTCGTGTAACTCTGTTATGCATTAATGGAGCTTGAACTTTTGGGGTGGGGCCTGACAGTGGCTGGCTTCTCTTGGGGGTATTCTGCTTGGTCATGGCTTGCGTTCCCCTTTAAGGATCCTCTGCAAAAGTGAACCCTAAAACTTGTCTTCTTTTTCAAAATCAGAAGACTATTTCAGTTTTACTGCAAGTTCGTTTTCTGGTTGTTTCTCCTTTTACAGAAGCGCGTGTTGCCAGCTGTCCCAGACAGTACCGCAGAAGAGGTCTATTATTTTAATTAAAATATCTCATTCAGTGCCTTTGATGGAATAGTGGATAAACAAACTTCACTGCCGCTGCCCCTGTTTCTGTTTTCTTGTATTTTTTTTACTGTAGATGCTTTAGAGATCGGGCATGTGGGGTCCTTATCAGCTGATTTAAGGCTTCTCTTGGGTGAAACCATTATTATTTTTTCCCCGAAGGTGCAGGCTAGTGCAGGAGTGGTTCACCCGGCAGCTCTTGATCGGCGGTGCAGAGACGCTTTGCCCGAGTTCCCAACTTCATGTGTGTTCTGTCAGGAGTCAGTCAGCACAGGAGAGCTGGAAAGGGGACCAACAGCCTGGTCCTCTCAGGAATGATTCTCTCCTAATCCACTGAGCTAACCTCAAGAATGCTGTCTGGTGACCCCTTTGAGCCCGGGACCTTTAATGGCTATTTAAAATGCCTTTTCTCTGTGGCTGTTAAGAAACCCCACCAGGGCCGAGTGTGGGAGCCCGCTAAGCAGCCCCACTGTCCTCAGGCTCCGCTGCAGTCTGGGTCTCAATGGGGGAACGTTTGTTTCAGCACTACAGTGACATGAAGCAAGGACCCATTTGTTAGGAAAAAACTTGTCAATTTTTTAGGAGAAATTCATCTTGTGAAGAACTCTACAGAGCTGGACTCACTTTCTGCCAAGTTTCCCCTTGGTGGCTCATGTAAATCTCGCATGTTTAAGACAGGTGTGTCTGCTGGGCTGTGACACAAATGACATGTAAAGTTACTGTGAAAATGATTCTACTGTACAGGATCATAAGTCACTGCAGGAATTATTTAAAGCCTACTTAGAATTATTAACATGCAACTTTAAAAATATAAGTGCTCTCCCCACCCAAAGTCTGATTTTTATTGGTAATTTCACAGACAGAAACGYGTCTGCCTAGCCCTTTTGTTTTGTCTGAAGCTCTGCATTATCGCAGCTGAGAGATAGTTTTGGTTTCAGCTGAAATTTCCTTGCCTCTGATTGTTTAAACCAGATCCTTAATCTTATTTTAACGTATTTAAAATGTTCAAAAAACCCGGAAGAATTGTTTTGTATAAGTAGCAAGTGAATGTAGTTTAAACACTCCAGCAATTCTGGTATCTAATTGGAAACAGGTGGAATTCTTGGAATCCTGTATTTGAGCCTTCCTGTAACCCAGCACAGGGACACTTTTTACTTGTGGCTATTCATCTCACCAGTGCTGTTTGAAGAGTCGCCTCACGGCCTCTCTCTTTCTCCACTACAGTGTACCTGGACGTTCCAGTCATGCTTAGGGACCCGATGCCTGTGGATACCTGGGCACTGAGAGAATTGTGTGTGTGTGATGGTGGAGAGAAAAAGGAGTGCTGCTGGCCTCGGGAGAGAAGCGACTTATTATCTACTGTTATGTAACTTTTATAGCAAAGAAGTTCTGAGTTCTTTTCGACCTCTGATTTTAATAAACATTTATTGACCCTAGCGTGTAGGTACATTTTATTGTTCTCTAAATATGATTTAGCATTTAGAATTTGTTTTCCCTAAAAGTTCTACATTTAGAGATATAAATTTCAGTTGCAACCAAAAAATGTGAACTTGGTGTGGAGCCCTAATAATGGGACCCTTGGAATCATCTACGTGATTTTTCCTGTTGTGGTTTCCAAGTTGCGCTCCTGAACACAGGTGATGGCCCTGCTTTGCTCTGTGTTTCCAAAGCGAGTTTGGTCTGGGTGTAGGTGCTGGCTTTCAGAGGAGGAGTTGAGGTCTGCCTCTGGCCACTGGTCCTGCTGCAGTTGCTAGCTGCCATTGCTTCTGTTCCCAGCCCATCTCTGGGAAGGCTGGTGGAGCAGAGGTGTGTCCTTGCAAGGAGGGGGTTTCCCCGGGAATGGAGGGGGACCCTGTGCTGATGTTATCATTGACGCCACTCCAGAAGCCGATTGGACGCACCTGGGTTGTGGCTTAAAGATTTTTAAAAAGTGCTTATGCCTATTCACACAATGTGGCACAGTTTAAAAATGTAATGAGGTCGGTCGCACACTGTTTTTGAAAGATGTCTGAATTGTTGCAAACCCCACMAAGAGCCTTTGCTTTAGAGAGCAAACAAATCTCTGATAAAAAATAATTCTCGTTCTGGCTGTAATTAATTCCTATAGGATGATGTTAATGCACAAATTAAAGGCTGTCAATTTCTTCATTTTACTCTGAAGGCTTTTCCTTACTTCAGTAGTCTGCGCGGGCCTTGGTAGAATTCTTGWGTTTAGTAAGAGTCCTGGGCCATGGGGTTGCCAGACCCCCCAAGTGGAATTGGTAGGGATCCCACCCACGGGGTCCTCCTGCACGGTCTGACAGGAGACCGTGAGGAAAGCGGATGGGGTCTGCCTGCAGGGATTTACTAGCATTGTAGGTGGGAGATTCACATCCAGTGGAGCTGACGGTCCTGCTTCCTTCCAGAACAGTGTGTGTGAAGCCCAGCAGGGCATGCCAAGGCGGCGGGCACTCTTCTGTGAGCGGGAGAATCCTTGGGAGCCACTGGACCCCCTGGGTCTCGAATGAGGCCGCTTCCATCAGCTGACGCTTAAAATCCTGGATGCTTTTGACCATTTGGAATTTGTACAATTAATCTGGGGGGCAGGGGCGGGGGGACTACCAGCATTGAAACTCTGAGATGCTAGCTTGTTCCTAGCGTTGCTTTGTGCCTGCGTCACAGACATGTTTCTCTCTCTGGCTGAACGTGTTCAATAAGTAAATGTGGTTAACATTTTTAACAAGTTACCTGTGGTTGTCAGGTGTTCCCAGTTTGGTTGAGGGAAAAACACTTGGACCCATTAGCTCTTTCTTAATCGAATATTGCGAAATTGTGAGTAGTAGAATGCCATTCTTACTGTCATTAAAAGTTTATTTGGGTGTTGACAGTTTTTTGCTAAATGTGAGACGCTCAGATCCTGTCCATCCGGCACATGAAAAAATGAAACAAACCAAACTCTGCTCAGAGCTTCTTTCCATTTTCCCCCTACAAGCAAGATCGTCTTTCTTACACTATGTTTTTCCCCCTAGTAGATTGTGATTAGTTTTGTAACATAGTTTTACCTTTTTTTTTTAAATACTTATTTT